CGTATCGGTGCACCACATGCCCTCATTAATTCGAACAATTAACTATCACCAACCACAACAATCTCATTTAGTGTTAATAATAGTGATATGAGGAGCCAATCAGAAGTGGCCTAATGAGACGGTCAATCGATGGCCAACAGAAGTGGCAATAAAGACAAATGAATTTGACTTCTTAGGGAATGGGTTGATTTCCCAGGGATAGAGTGGTATAAAGATGAGTGAATATTTGTGCATTTTATTCGGTAGTCCAATACACTTTCTCACTCATTTTTGTGTTCTTGCTCAAGTGGTCAGTTGGAAGATTAGCGCGTAGCACACTGTGTATCTGTATAAGATTCATAACACCGTCCATCACAACAAATAGTTGAAGAAAGAGTCATAATGAGTTCACATTTCAAAATTCTATTTTTGTACGCTTCAGTGCAAATATCGAAAACATCCCTCCGTATCTGCTTCTTCTTATAAATGGTCTTTTGCACTTCTATAATAGGTACTGCTTCTTTAATATTTGTCTGTATTTCTGTGTATTTGTTCCCACTTTTGAGATCGATTGCAGCTATTGTTGTTTCAGGGACGTCTGACAATATTCACTGGTAGTAAATTGTTTTCTTTTAAATATATTTATTTTTTTCTAGTCGATTGCTGAATTTTGAAGCAAACTCAGTTGCCTTCACCCTCTTCCTTTGTTAGAATATTGTTACTTGATGACTAGGTATATTTTTCTTATCGTGATCGTCGGGTTCTTTGAGGTGTTTGTGCCATTTGGAAAAAGCATCATTCAGATACCATTACTTTTGTTTGTACTTACATTCTTTCTTGTAGTACGTCTTTTTTATGTCTTCTCCAATATTTGGAAATTTGTTTATGTTATTGTGGAAAAGTTAATGACTATTATCGTCTTTCAAATTGATGAACTCAGAATAGCATTACTGTGGTTCCATCAACGGCATAGACACACTGAAGCAATTCAGTTTTCTGATATATCACAGAATTCACAATACACCTGGATATCGATATAATCTTACACGGACTATGAGGCCCAACACAACGCCTTTATATTTTGAACATTCGTATCAGACGCAGCACATTATATATGTTTATACTTACAAATGATTCTGCGCAAAGTTCACAAAATAATGGTGATTCTTACAGGAAACCTTTATGTCCCACAACCTTGGGCTCAGCTGCCATTAAATTCCGAATTAAGGAGTGCCTGTCAGATTAGACCTTATTCGGTTATCTAAAAATGCAGGTAAGGCGAATTGGGACCTGACCTAACTCGTTATATGATCTTCTATTACTCTTAGAAAACGTGCTAGCGTTTTCCTTTGATATCATATAAGACTGAAGAGTTTAAAGAGCGCAAGCGAAACTAATCACCGCAATCTCTCCGTCTGAATTATTATATATTAAAGCCATTGCTTCGTAAACATGGTTAAGCTATAACCTTACAACAAGTGACCCATTTCATCAATTAAGGTGTTTTATTGTATTTATCGGCTAAGATTTTTGGCTGCTCGACAAGCATCTTGAGATACATGCAAAATGTGTATCGAAAGGAGCACAGGTTTATGAGTCCTCGTTCGTGAAAGTTCCCAAGTATGGTCCTCCTTGAAGAAATTGTGTTTCCGACCGAAGGTAACTCAAATCAAAAAATCTTTCTTGACTTAGTTTTTAGATAGAACAACTCAATCTTTCGAGCCATGTTTATGTCCTCCATCTCAAAATTAAGGAACGTGATCGTCTGGGATGCAAGCCGTCTACTTCATGGTTAAGATGTCTAACATTTGTGTACTCAACAACACAAAAACCCCTCGTTGTACTTGGACTTGCAGGGCCAGTGAAATTTCACTGTGCCCTAGCCAAATCATCCTGCGGTTAGGTCATTGAATAGCGAACAAATCATCGATCCTCGTCAAGGTCGAGGACAACCAACGCGCATCAGTTAATCGTATATCATGCGGCAGTGGTCTTACTCTCGCTTTTATCTACTTTGACTAATATATTTCTGTAATGACGTCCTCTGTGTTGTACAGTCTTCAAAGTATCTATGGTACCTTGATACGTCAATGGGGTAGTCCACGTAGAGTGCTGACCACGAGGTGTGAATTCGACATTATCTGGTCTCCGATCATTCGATATAGATCATTCAGGTTGGTGATCTATAGACTCAAACCTAGCAGACGAAAAAGTCATATCAGAAAACCGCCAGGGGAATTGGCCTCACTGCTGTCATGCATATGGCGAAACTGTACTTTGTGGACGGACAAATGAGATTGAAGATGTCAATTCCTAAAAACTCATTTACCCATATGGATAAATAACACTTTGGAATTTTATCTGGTACTACTTCGTGATGAAAAAGCTGGTTCTAGTTCCTTACTCTAAATTCTACCATTCAGTTCTAATTTTAATTCCTTACACAAATTTATTACTTTTTTTGACCCCAGCAAGTATATGAATCTGTAGAACTATGGTCTACTATGATATTAGTACTGCTCTAATAATAGACCTAATCCTAAATTTGTAGATTTGTCATGATGTGACTGCCTAATCCATAAGATCTTACGTGGAAGTCACACCATCGACTACACCAACTCACTGTATCGTATCAATTACCAATACATGATGTAGAACAAGGTTAGGCTAGAGAAAGAACAATATATTTAATATGAAAAGAAGATATAAGGTAACATTCAGCAGAGACCACGCCTGCATGGCCGAGCCATGCCGTTCGATCAACTCTAGTCTATTCAGTTCATTCTTCGCGCCTTCTCCATCGTTAGGTATTTCTTCGCGTTAAATACTGAATACCTATTTTCCGAGTAATCTCGTATTCAGCTTTGAGGATAGTGTGGTTATGGTCCAATGCCACTACACTACTCTCCCACCAGAATCAACGTGGTGTTGGTTCGATACCCAATTGGATGGGACTGTAGTGTGCCGAAGGTTACCAAGAATAGTAAGATTCCTCCGGGTGATGACAAGCTGAAAGATAAATCAAAAAGAAGACGGCAGCATCTGGTCGGGAAATACATGTAATAATTTTAAAATATCTGCCTTCATGCTTAACACGCTTACAATGAAAATTTGAGTGATTATTTGAGCTATAAAAAAATGGGATTACAATAATAATAATAGTAATAATAAAACGATGCGTGTGTAATAGCCATTGGTTGATAACTTAACGTATAGGTAGTAAGTATTTTGTGTTTAGAAATATTAAAGTTATGAATATTGTAGAAATGTTAATATTAGTACTACTTTTAGTCTAACTTATGAAATCAAATAACGATTATGCCGGTAAGTTGTCCATATGAGTCGATTTCCAATTGCATCTGTATTAGTAGGCTAACTGAAGGAACAAAAGTATTACCGTGGAGAAGAATTCCAACTAGTGTTCCAGTTAGTTTGATACGGTTTGTTTAGTTACGGGGAGATTTTCTCAACCTCATTTTTACTTGACCGTGATAGAATTTATTAATACTACTAATACACATGAATGGTTATCAAAACAAAATTTAAATACGTGAGTGGTAATTATGTGAATTTTGGATAGATAGCTAGGAACAAATCGTTAAACATGAGTGTATTCTTAAGAGACATGCTCTAGACTCAATGTTCTGATCTGCGGCAGACTATTTATTTATATCTATACTTGCCGGCTGATTGGGTATACAAGTTAGTTGAAAGTATGCAGTTTATCATAAGGCGGAACACGATTTAATTGAGATATAGTGGTTATACGTTATTGAAATTAGTTAAACCTATGTGTCATATTACTAAGTGATGTGGTGCTGCAAGGTGTATTTGGCTAAATAATTTTTTACAAGATGATTAATAGTGAGTGATGCTCATGTGATTATCAGGGAGAACATAAGTTGTAACCAAGGGGAGTGCACTCCCAACTCATGCCTATGATAATAGCTTGAACCTTAGTCAGTGTTGGGGTAAATTCGACATTGATGTTTTCAGTTTGCAGGATATTTGCTCGACTGCTTATACTGATTATTTGCATGCATGATTGTGTCGCTAAACCATCAATTAGACTGACAAAGTTTTGAGATATTTACTGAATGAGCAACTGATAGAGAAACATACTGTAATCATCTGTAGTGAATGAAGAAAAACAACACTAGTGATAATTATAAGTCAATTTGCTGACCGATTTTGTTAATAGTTTCATTAATTTTGTCAATCATATTACGGGATTGTCAAGTCATGACAATGCTTTATGAAGATATCCTGAAACTATTATGTTTAATTAGTTATAGTGTTGATTGAAGATTGGCCAGTGGAAAAATAGGCATTGTTGTTTTAGGTGATTCAAAATTATCAGAAATTTATAACGTTAAAGAATCCGAGACGCCTAATTTAATTATAAATTTCAATTCAGAAATATTTGTTTAATGTTAATTCTAGTAGGCTACGGAGTTTAGATTTTAAAAGTTTGTTCAACCAACAACTACCTGAGGATTTAGTAATTTTACTAGTGCAGTTGATAGTACCTAAATTTTTAATCTCATTATCTAAATTATGTTTGCATTTTAGACTGCTAATATGATAAACCAATCCATAAATCCAAACACGATTAGCGACAACGACTATGATGGGTTTATTAATAAATGTTAGAGGCGATCCAGATTATTTCTAAATTTAGAAGACATGGAGATATAGTGTAACGTATGTATGAACCAGGTTAATATGCAGGTTGTTGACGTATATGACGATTTAAAAATAATGAACATGACCAGACAAGTAATTTTAAAGTTTAGACTGCTTGTGAAACTTCAGGCAGGAATATGACGCGTTATAAACATTCTATAAGAAGTTACTGCATTTAGCCTAGGGACACTTACAAATATATGGCAAAAGGAGCTAGGAAACATATACATGTTAGGTACGAAAAATAATTAAGTGAAATAGTTGAACTCGCCTGGATTATTTTCGAAAAAAAAAATTATTCAGTGGACGACATATATAACGCCATTCGTTAGGAGTAATGATCCAAAAGTATCCACAATAAAACATGCAGTATGGCAATTAATTCCAGGGTGCTTGATGCTGATGATGTTTTTGCCACTCGCTCGGATCAAAACAATCGAATGAATCCAGATAACTGTGTCAGCCATTGAACGAGCCATCTAAAATGACCTTATGATTGCAGGAAACTTATGGCTGAAACTCACCGTATGTTTTTAGAGAAAAGTGTCATCCTTGTTGTTTGGCAATGGAACTCGAGAATGTGAAATTAGGCAGGCAGTGGTCGGAAGAAAAGATTTTACAGGATAGTGCATAGTTTAAAACAGGATGTGTTAAGCGAAGGAACACTAAGAATTAGATCCAGATATCTATTCAATCCTTAATTGCATTGTTAGTCAATGTATAATTACGCTACTTACAGATCATATTTGCTAGAGCTTGATGTTTAGACAAGTCTATGTCGCTGAAGCAGGTAAATGCTATAAAAGCTTGTTAACGAACTATCAAAGCTAATTAGTTGATATTGACGACCAGTTTTTATTATCGTTTGAGCCAGTATGTTATGAGAACTAATCAATATAACATTACGATAATGCAAGTGAGTATTATTCAGGGGACTATTAGAATACTGGGTTAACATGAATATAAAATCGATCGAGAAAGTTAAAGTGGAAATAAGGATTAACAATAATAGGTTGCGTTTCTTTAGTTGGGCTCGCCAATGTAGAATTAAAGTCTACTATGATATTAGTACTGCTCTAATAATAGACCTAATCCTAAATTTGTAGATTTGTCATGATATGACTGCCTAATCCATAAGATCTTACGTGGAAGTCACACCATCGACTACACCAACTCACTGTATCGTATCAATTACCAATACATGATGTAGAACAAGGTTAGGCTAGAGAAAGAACAATATATTTAATATGAAAAGAAGATATAAGGTAACATTCAGCAGAGACCACGCCTGCATGGCCGAGCCATGCCGTTCGATCAACTCTAGTCTATTCAGTTCATTCTTCGCGCCTTCTCCATCGTTAGGTATTTCTTCGCGTTAAATACTGAATACCTATTTTCCGAGTAATCTCGTATTCAGCTTTGAGGATAGTGTGGTTATGGTCCAATGCCACTACAAATCTTCCCAAGATCACTTCAGCATTTCTGGAAGATCGCCTATAAATTAGTGTCTTTCTAGTGTAAATATCCTTCAGCACCTATATGTACATGATAACTGGCTTCTACTATAATTATTCTATTATTAACTGCAATTAACGCATGCAATGCTCTACGATGATAAACTCTCATTGTTTGTCAAGCTGTTGCTTTGCTTTCTTGCCCTCTTTTCAAATTAGTCATACAAGCAGCAGCTTTTTGGCTTTTGCCCGACTAATTAAATATTACTACAGTCACACAAATAATCTGGCTTTCCATTAATATTGTGCCTCTCCTTGTGCGTAATAATCTCACCCTACTGACGTCATCTCACCAAGCGACACCAAAAACGATTTCTGACTCAAAGTTGTAATCGTTTTCTACTTTGACCTCTGATAGACAGCTCTCACCATCCTTCATATCTGAGGTGTTGATTTCAGTTTTAATTAAAGCTTGATGAACGGTACCATCTAAACATCCTTCCACCCTTCCAGGTTGTACAGTCTGTGTAGAATGAACAACAGGTTCATTTAGCGCAAGTATTACAGACTCTTAATTTAGGTATGAGTACAGAAAGTACCGCATGGCATTGTATTTCGATATTTGAAACGAAAAAATCAGATTGGGGTGGAAACGTAAGGGCTTCTGGGTTTCAGCTACACAGTTTTCAGTCACATATCAGCAACACCGTAAAAATTAAACTGGTCATTCTTCAAACAGTCTAATCTATCAGCTGAACCATTAAACCCATCTGCAGAAGCAACAGTATTTTATAGATGTTATTCAAGTATTTGGTTTGGACTTTGTTTGTGGTAATAAATATGCTGTGTGGGCCGTTATCCTAAGATGTAATTCGTTTACTCTGGCTAATTCCTCTGAACGTGGAACCTATATCATTTCTACTTAAACTTCACCAGCAACCATGTAATTACTTATTAGTTACTCGCTGACAGGGGATTATAGATTCTCGCTAATGAAATTGAAGTATAGTTAGACTTGCTATTATATGTTTTAAAATTGTTATTTGTACTTCGTTTGTAAACGTTATGGGCTTTAGAGTTTATATATGAAAATGAATCTAAAAGCTTTCCTCATATCTGAATTTACTTCTACCTACATTTCTTCTCCATGGTCCGAAACCGAGTTCAAAATCAACATCTTAGTACTCTTGGCCGTCTCTTCAATGATTTCTTATTTGATAATTACTGACTCTCAGGCAGTGTAACTACTAAAATTCAAGTTTTTGATCTGAACAAAGAAAACAACCCAGCTGAACGAAGAATTTGTCCAATAAAACGAACGTTCTTTTGTGTAAGGCGCGAAGATTTCTCAAGTCATTCACTATCAACGGTTACATTAAAATATAAATTAAGTACACGACCTTAGAAACTTCTCTGAAAATGTTCGTATACTGCTCAATTATGCAGTTGAGATTTGCAAATATTTATTGCTGTCAGTCTCTTATGACTCTCTGGTAAGGAGATTTGGTATTTTCTTCAGTCTTTAGGACTTGTGTGAGGGATCTCAGAATTTAGCAGTTCCAAATTTCCACTGTAGATGACCTATGTCGAAAATGGCCGGAGGCCTGGTCGAGTTAGACGGGAATGGTGTGACAAACTAGCTAACATCACAGTCACACCTCGTGGTCAGCACTCTACGTGGACTACCCCATTGACGTATCAAGGTACCATAGATACTTTGAAGACTGTACAACACAGAGGACGTCATTACAGAAATATATTAGTCAAAGTAGATAAAAGCGAGAGTAAGACCACTGCCGCATGATATACGATTAACTGATGCGCGTTGGTTGTCCTCGACCTTGACGAGGATCGATGATTTGTTCGCTATTCAATGACCTAACCGCAGGATGATTTGGCTAGGGCACAGTGAAATTTCACTGGCCCTACACCGCTCAAGATTTAACTTAAAACTGTAAACTATTCAGCTAAGTTTGACTGTCTTCCTGACATTAGAAGATTGACTAGTAGTTATCTAAAAATCAATTGATATTCTCTAAGCACAAATGTTGACATTTTGTTTTAGTTTTTTCATCAACCTCGGTATCTCAGTTATATATAAGGCGCTAATATGATGCAATTTACATAGCGGGTTACTCAGTTGTAATGAATTATGAGGTCACTTGACAGAGAATCCTTATCAGAAGCTTTTAGTGTTGTGTATTCCTGCCTTTTTAATTTTTATGACGGTAATATAACCATGCACTTGGCTTTTTAAACTTCTTCACAGACAGTAGAAAGTGTTTTGATACTTTAATAAACGTATCGTTTAACTTTTCGGGTTTACTCATCATTTCGAACTTATTTGTCTGTATAACTTCGATGCCGCATAACAAGTTTATAAGTTGAGACCAGAAATACTCAGGCGACAAACTTTGGTAAGATGCAGATAACCTGTATAAATTTGTATAGTAACCGAAAAAATTTAAATTATTTCAACATTTTCGAAACTTTAATTACACGAAAGACACTCTTTATCCTAAAGTATGACAAAAACTGACAACAGTTTCAGACTGAAGGCTAAAAGTGAAAAGAATTTAATGAACCACTACTCTCTTATTATGTACCTAAGTATATATTATCCCCTAGAAAAATGAGAACACTACGACTATCTGAGTTTCTTATTCACCTTTGCGTCACATTATTTTCTTTTTTGCTCTCATTATTTCTTATCACGGAGAATATTTGATATTATACTTGTAGGGTTTCGTCAAGTTATGGATTTATGTTGTAATGTCTTTTTTTAGATCTTATCCAAACCAGTAATTTTAAAAGTGTACAAGGACTTTATGGAAATTAGTGATAAGGTAACCCAATAAATTATGTCCATCAATGGCAGAAGACATTCTTTAACTTAGTTTGAATGGATGGATCTACGACTCATGAAACTAAGTGGATGCTTATTAGATATAAGTCTTCATAACACCCTTTTGAACAAGACACTACTGTGTTTATGAATTTGATGGTTGAAATACTTCAAATAGAAGTTGAGTAAGTAAGTTCGAGGCTTAAGTTAACTTGAAAAGTTTTGGACGTCTCTTGAAAGGAAGGTTCTTTGCATGTGATGGTATTAGTAATAGGATAGACAACCTTATTTCAGGAGACATTTAGACACAGATGACATCAACAATATTCAAATTTCCTTTACTTGGCTAGATCTTATGCAAATAGCGTAATAGGGGTTGGAAGAGCTTTTAGGGTTTCAAAAGTGTGTTCCGTTTTTATATGTCACGCGGCTGTGTAAACAATTTGCTATAAGTATTAAGATCCATATGTATCCGATGGTTCAACGCAAAATTTTAATTGATTTTCATTGTGCTTGTAATAAATTGGAGCCATTTCATAAATCTTCAGTGGAAAATACTCAACATTTCGCCAAATAGCCTAAAATACATCTTATTTGTTTCTACCCGTCACACAGTTTTCCATAATGAAAACATTTCCTTTTTTGGCAGTCACTTAGGTTTGTAGTATCTAGTACTATGCTTAGCTTATGGCTTTATGACAGACTGACTTATTCATTCTTCTTGAGTCACATTTGGACCTTGTTGATTATACGTTTATTTACTCTGACTGTTTTTTGTATCTGCGTATATATGTGTATTGCTTATCCTATTCATCACATATCTGTAGCTTATTTTGTCTGAATATAAATATCGATGCATGCTTGATCAAGTGAGTTTGGATAACTCACCTTCTTTACTCTGCATCTTATTTGGAATGTCTGCCTGAGTTCTTGAAGTAAATCCACCCAACAAAACCCGTATTTGGCTTCGTATTACCTCCGCCACACATACGTAGTTACCCCAGGTAAAATTCGGAGTTAAGTGAAAGATTGATGTTGACATTATCTTCCCACGATCAAACCAGAGTCAGATATTGGTTCACATAAAGTTATTTAACATACTACTAGGGTTGGAAACAGCTAACAAGTTTTGAGCAGGGCTAGTTCACGAGGTCACTAACTCCTGATTTGGGTTGCTTATGCAAGCATAACTCTCAGGTCTCTATTATTTTGAAAATTTGCTTGGATTAATTTGGATATAAATTATGTTTATTGGTGCACTTTAACACAAAACAGGATGAATGTGAGATAGTCGGACAGAACATAACAGATTTACGGTCTGAAAGGTAAGGCTGTGCTCTCTCGAAGTATGATATAGCTGCAACAGTGCTCCTACTTTTACAGATAACAAAAATAAGGTCAGAAAAGCTCAGAAATAGCGAATCACATCTTTCATTGTCACATGGATTTTTTACGGCTGAAAAAGTATAGACATAACAGACACCCACAAACTATATGCGTGAATGACCCCCAGTAATTCTTTTTCACGGTCCGTAGATATACCTTAAAGCTTGTAAAACCGTCAGTGCTAACCCTGTTTCTTTGCCAGATTCCTCTGGAAGAAACACTACTTGATCATGCTGGCAGCATAAGTTCCAGTTGTTAACACATTTTCATCATCGCTCAGGTGTGTCAAAAGCGATATACTTCTCTTTCTAAAGTCTCGTTTGTTCGGATTATTGAACTCCGTTTTTAACCTTATGTTCTATCTCACATAACACTAGTACCAAGAATTGGATTTTAAAAGTATCATCCACGGTTTCCAGAACCACGCTCTAAGAAACATTTTGGAGCTTTCAATATCTAGCTTGTGTCAGAATCAACGACAGATTTTGTTAAATAAGGTCATAAAGTATCAGTACATAAATATTTTGGGTCTCTGAAACCCGTTCACACAAATGAAGTTTGATTACTCACTAAAGCAATATAACCGGTGTAGAAAATTAGCACTGTTCACCCTATACTCATCTGAAAACTCAATAAATATGTCTTATTATGTTACTAGCAGTACAACAGCATGATTTTCCCAGTGCAGAACAAGGTTCTGTGAACTGTATTTTAGTTCTCTGCCGCTCGGAACTAAAAAACTCGGAAGACCAGAAATTTATATTTTTGCCTGCTCATAGTCTGTGCTCATAATTTTTCAGCTTGCAATGTGGATCGAACAAAAAATCAGTTCAACTTAGAGGCTCTCTAATTTGATTTAAGTAGTTGGTAGCACCAAGGGCAATGTTATTGGTCATAAAGGTAAGCTAAATATGGGGGAAAAACCTAGTTTTAGCTTTTAGGGTTTCGTTTTGTCCTCAGATAATCATTTGTTACTAATAAAAACTAACCTTAGGCACTACTGCAGTACAATGTCCAACCTAGTGATTACCTGCATCGGCTCAACAATGGAAGTAAACAAACCATGCCAAAACGGTTTAAATTTTTAAATTTTAGATGTCTTCGAACTGTTTCTCGTATAAGATGAAACTACTTATTGAGTAATTCTGAGGCTAAATGCAATGTTTTAAATAGAAACGATGGGCAGATTGTGACCGATCAGTTGTCTGTATAGTTGGAGCATTTATGCTATTATCACTTAAAATGTCCGTGAACGTTACTATATGTTACTGAGTTGTATTCTTACCAATACAAAAAGCAAGTCATTACTGTGCCATCAAATTCACTGGTGGAAACTGTTTCATTTTACATACTATATATGAGATTGATAGATTACCAATTATATTACATTTTGCTATTATCACGTTACCTAATGTTATAATAGTTCATTCATTCAAATTATTACTGTTTGAATAGTATTCAACTATCATAATTATCAACTATAATATTTCTCTCACTTGACAAGCATTATCTTAGTTAAAACTCTCAGTGTTTGGTGCATAAACATAATGGAGACTAAATAAATACTTGATAGTGGAAAATTCGATCTCCTTCAACCGCGCTACTAATATACAAATATATATTTATTATATCATTATTCGTTAATTATATACGTCATCCCTTTTTGTTGCTTTACTACACCTGAAAGCACTATATTACTTATTTCTCCAAAATAAAAGGTGTGGATGTATTCTAAATTCATTTATATAACCATACAGCACACGCAGGTCATGATGAAATCGTAACACTGTGGTTAGCTTACAAGAGTAATTTCCTCATTTGACAGAATTTTGGATAATAACTCGAAAAAAGCTATTTATTGTTCTGTTCTTGTCACAGGTAGCGGTTGTTAGAATCATTCTTTATCATTTAATATTGAAATCTCACGCTCCTCAACGTCCAAGTTGAATGAAACTTTAGCAGATATTCTAAGTGTATTCATTTCTATAACTTCTGTAATTCTGAACCATAAACATTACCTACATTATATATGAACAGAAAATGACTAGTTGCTTGTAACATTCAAGGGTTCTACATTTTCGGTGTTAAATTTTTACTGCCGAGAATTTTATTCCACTATGCAATTTAGTTTTGACAAAAATCTAGGTGTTTTAGTAAAGACTTTCATCTGCATCCTGTTTAGCTATTTGTAATAGTCACCATGTACAATTTTACTTCTAAGGTTGGGTTTAATCAAGGATAACAGAAAAATGGTTATTTGTGACTCTGTCATGATATTTAGTCACATAATAAAAAAAAATAATGTAGCAAGTTTTATTTAGTTCTGTACCGTGATAAATCTTCAAATCTGAAGGACAAAAGTTAAATGTCTGTTTGAAAATTATAAAACCTTGATGCTACTATCACATTATTTAAGTAGCTTGTCATATTTACAGAAAAATTGTCCCCATCATATTAAAAAAAACTGAACATAATATTTATCAATATATATCACAACTTGAACTCAAGGTGCGAAACCGTAATAAGTAGTATAAAACGTGATTTAAAGATAAAGTTATGGTTTTCAGTATGAAACAATGTTTCTACTTCTAGAGTAACTATAAAACAATCAATCTGTGATCTTTTTAGTGAAATCCTAGATGATTAATACATGATCAGATTTAGAGTTCTATGATTTCATTTGGTGTATCAAATACCACTGAAAAATCGAAGTATTTACATGAGAAGAAATGGTAGGTCCTAGTTTAATGATTCGTTTAATGAGGAGAGTACAGATTTACAGAAAAAAAAGATTAATACCATGAACATTAGTCAGTAAGAATAAATTCATAATTATTGCATGTATTTTATAAGTGTCAGATTCCCTTACAAAAGAACGAAGAAACTATTAAACTATTTTACTACTTTAACATCAGTGAAACCTTTGATAATTCCAATTATGAATCTTTTTGGTTTAAATAAAGTTTATCAATATAACTTTTTTCATATTTACTTATATTGTGGTGTGTGCTACTTATATTGATATAAATAGTATATGATGTTAGTCGTGGGCAGAAGATCTAACAGCAGGGAGATAAGAGGATCGAACAGTAAATAATGGAAACAGGATGCAGTTTGTATGACAATGCAAGAACAATGAAGTTTGAGTCATTTTGACACAATTGATGAACATTTTGCAAATTCAGTATTTACTTTATGATTGTTAGATTTTATTAACATGTCCTGTAATTTTGTATTAAATACATTCAATTGTCCTCACCCGTGTTCTATTCACTACAATATGACCTGTTTATTAAAGAGAAATCCATTATTTCTGTACTAAAGTTTTAATAAATTGTAAAACAAAAAAGCATATGAGTTGTTCTTCCTAAGTTTGTAACTATTATACATTTTCAATCATACTGTTTCCATTAAGTATTTCATAAATATTGATCAGTATAAGCTGATTAAAATGTTAGTTGCTAGGTGGATTTTTTTTTAAAGGTTATATGATTATTTCTTAACTTTCTTCATGTGAACATTTCAGATACTGACTACTATGTTATACATAGTTTTAGTGAGTTTGTTTTTTTATTGGATCTACATATTCCCAACGTCTTTTTCAATTTATTTCAGACTCTTACTTCTTTCATGTTCTAATTTTACTTGTTTATCAATGGAAAAAAGTGATTTCATACATCGAATCGATATCTTTGATCAAAATCACTTTTCCAAAGTAAGCTAAAGTCATTCTATTTGATTGACAATTACTTCACTCTTCAGAATCTTCCAAGTCATCAGATGTATTCTGGACATTTCAACAAATCAAATCAATTGAATACTTTTAATGGTAATTTTTTTTAACATACCTTAGTTTAATCAACTAAATTTTATAGTTTATGCAGAAGCCCGTAGCTTATTGAATGAATGGATGATTAAAAATACTTTGGATATTGAAGATCTAGATAGCGGGAGTGATGATTTTAAGCCAATTACTCCTAGTCGAAAAGAAATTAAAAGAGAATGGGACCATCTATTTAAAGATAACAATCTGAAGAATGATGTAAGTTGTGAGCGTATAAAAGATTTATTAATCAACCAAAAAATCTATGATTCATATCCTAACTTATTTTAGATTTAGTTATTCTTAATTTTAAATATCTGAATATTATTGGAATTCTGTAAAACTTTTGTTTATTGTTATCATATATGCGAATGTTAATGCATCTAATATGATCACGGCGAGTGGATAGAGTCATCAGACTTCATATAAAATCTTTCGTTGACAGACATACGCTGTTCATAAAAGATACTTGGATTCATTGTAACGATGCTCAAGATTTATTTATCAGATGGTTGCTCCTGAAACATGAGTTCTTCGATCTGGATGAGAAGTTTTTATTTTCGTTCTGTATATCACTATTAGCCTCTCTTGTCATAGAACTGAGATACTCTACACCTATTTCGCGAGCGCTTAATCAGTCCATCCTGATGCTCATATTTGTGACCAATTCTAACCATAGATTTTTTATCTGTATAAACTTTGCGTTCCCTCCAACTCTCTCGTTCATGTGATTGTCGTATATTTTCCGTACAGATTGATAAATCAGATCTATAACGCGATACGTCAGTTTATTATAAATTGATATGAATATTGACCCACTAAAAATTCCAAGGCATTCTTAGAATCTCGTCGATCCATATTTTGATATGTTCTTAATCAAATTTATTTTCATCATTGTCTCTGTATGCATCACTACCACTAATAACATATCATGTTGTTTCATTACAAACACATGACTGTTTTATCCGTAAATTTTTTTCTTCTTCATTGAATCAGTTTTGTTTTACATAGATCAATGAAAAAACGGCTAATACTATTTTTCCAGTTCAAACATCAAATAACGGGACCTTAATACATGGCATTAGGGACGTAATAACAATGACTTCTTCGTTCGTATACTTAATGTTTGGCTTCTCTGGTTATCAGTAGTATATACCACTGTTCATTAAATATCTGTAAAGTTATGGATACAAGGATATATTGTTGATTAATTAATAAAAAGAGGTCTGAGGGTGGGAAAACCGAAACGTGACATCAGTCCATGAAGTTATTGGAAGTTGGGACTAATCGTGTTGGTAGGTTTAGACTAGATAGTCAACACCCGAATGATTATTTAAACCAATAGTTGGAGACGCTGTGTAATATAGCGCCGAATCGGTTCCAATAGTGAAAATGAATTCACTCTATGTCTACCTTTAGATCCTTAGTTCCAAAATCATCTTGTATTATTTCTTTTATTCAACGAATTAGTGTTTTTATCTAGAATAATGTCGTCTATAACTAATTTTCTCTATCACCACTGACATTTTTTCTGTTTCTACTCCTATGCTATTTTTACTGATAATTTCATTTTTCTGTGCTAATGTAGTGTGACAACTTGAACTAATGCACAAATATGCCAGGTTCTCCGTTACGAATAATTGACCGACTGATTGATTAGTATTGAACTTCAAAGAAATGCTAGTTCTGGTCAACAATATCTATCTTTTCCAGGAGTAAACAAGTTGACTATAGACATACTTTTTATACCTTAGTTATTGAGATGGTGGAGAAGATTTTTAGCTCAGATGGATGGTTTTGATGGTTATATCTATAGTTATATCTAAGTTAATATTATATTTCTTTAAATACTTTTTCATAACTCAAAATTATAGTTAAAAGAAAAGACTAAACCAATTTGCTACGGCTTTGATTGAAATCGAATAGTCGTTTTCACAAAAGTACTTTATGTATTAAATGATATGCAAGTATACTCAGATGACAAGTCCCAAATAGAACTAAACGAACATCCTGGATTCCACTTCTAGCCACCATCCGTTTGTGCCAACAAATGCTTGTGACTTAATGGCAATACCGAGTAAATCCTCACAGAATTCATATATGCTAAAAGAGACTGATCAATTGCTACCCCAAACAACAATTAGAAGATTCAAATAACCAATATGTATGAAGTGCTTCACTCTATTTTCCGAAATTTCGCATACGAGTACATCAATCTATAAATGACTATTAGCTTATCGAGAAATTCCAATGAGCCTTGTGTAGTTTGAGAAAATTTTATATTGTATAGATAGACATTTAAAACTCTATCACTATACTGTTTAGCTTAAGAAAATTTCACACTACTACAATGTTGATATAGTTCTATGGATTGATAAATTTCATTGGTTTTTCAAAATTCAAGTTTTCAGATGACTATGAAGTTGATAATCACTTGAAAAATAATCACTATACAGAACATAATTCTAAAGACTCAGATTTATCCCACATTGGTTATACACGCCAACGTCAGTCTACATTGGAAAAAATTCTCTTACGTCAAGAAGAGGCTAAAGCACGACGTGAACTACGACAAAAAGAATTAGAATCTCGTCGTATTCTTGAAGCTACTAATCGTCAAATAAAAGCACAAATTTTGTACAAAGCAAAACAAGTATATATCTTTTATTATACGTTTTTATACTATAATTATCGCTTATAGAAAACCCAATAAACCACTTTTGATTTTTTACTATTCTGTGCATGTATGTGTGGAAATTTATTTATTGTCATCTTCCATGTAGCTTATGACAAATAGTTCAGCTAATAAACATAATAAAGGTTTATACAGCATTTATGCTTTCCACAGTTTTATTTAATTCTAAACATCAAAATTTGTTTATCATTAGGTTATAGACTGAAGTTTGGTTTGCAGTTTACTATTATTTCAGAACAGTTCATCCACATCCACCCGTTACACTTCTATAAATCTTGAAGATCTTATGACCTTATATCCTAAAGATAGTTTACGCTACGGATTTAAATGAGGTGAAGATAGACTAAAAGCTATGAAACACTGGATAACTGTTTCATTATGATATGGAATGATTCAATTTAAGAACTCTAGGTTTTACAGTGAGCATGTTACATGTAGACTTCTGGGTTATTACTCAGCTATCCATGATTTTGGTTGGTGATGTAGTACGGGATTCATCAGATAGTGTTGGGAGGTATCCGCCTCATACATGACAAAATTGAACTTCACTAATCACAATTTTCCGTACGAAATCCGGAAGTTTGTCATAAAACAGGTCACTAGTGATTGTCTAAAGGTCCAGAATTAAATTATAAGCCAGGCCACAGGTACACAATGGCAATGAGTCCCACAGTGGAATAAGCAGATATCAGGTGCTCTGTGGCCACCAATGGCTCTCTTGCCAGTGTATATTCACAACGATAACTATTATTCAATTAAACTAATCTCAACAAATCTATTCGTTCCACGTTTTCTCAGATCTTTCTTCTTGACTTTAGTACATGTTTACCCAAGTTTTGTTCATTTTATGATAATATTGTGAAGCGTTAGAAAGAAATATTTTTATCAGGCGTGATTTTTGCATCAAATTTACTTCCTTCACGCAGCTCTCCAATAAGAATTTAGATTCGACTAGAAAAGAAAGATGACTTCAGGTTGGATGATTTTAGGAAATTTACAGTAAAACGTAGGAAAGTTAATCGTTGTTATTGTGATTACAACCAAAGACGTTATCAATGGGTTCGATAGGCAGCTATGATGAAAAAATATCGATCTATAGGTCAATATGTTTTAGGAAAACAATTTCAAGGTAAAACATTGTGTCTTACAGAAAATCATGCATGGAAAAGATTGAAAATTTCTTAAACACTCTCACTTTCTCTCTACATGTATGCAGATATATATAAAAATAGAACATTTTAATGAAATCCACCAATAATTTCTACTAATTTGTTTTCAATGAACATAGGACGAAAAAATGAGGCAAGCAGAAGAAAGACGAGAAGAAGAACTAATTCACCAGGAGATGGTACGAATTCGCAAAGAATTAGAAGAAGAAAAACAGGCAGCAAAAAACTACAGGTAGGGTGGAAAAATATAATCTTAAAAAATTCCCATAATAAATAGTAAACAACATGAAAATTAATAGTATAAAATAGTGAAGGATTTTAATAATTTGCTCGAGAAAAAGGATCGACTGGAGTAAGAAAACCATAGAAATCATGAAAAACAGGATGGAAAATAATTAAAATTATTTTTAAAAAAATTAACGCAGAACGAGCATTCATATCATAACATCACCAACAAAAATGAAAACACACGAATCCGGAAAAAATGGAATTTGCGGATTGTTATTATCCTACTGTGACTGTTACTAATAAAAATGGTCAGAGATCGTGGTGAAATGATTCAAGTAGTGCCTCAGTATATTCATGCGTGCAGTAATTGACACGGACAGAATATCTTGTAGTTATGAATGTATATACACGAATCAATATATGTGTAGATATTTCCATCTATATAGATATAGATATATAGAAGTGCAGAATGGATTTGGAGCAATTGACCAAGCATAGAGCGAATTGTTGGGGTGTTCGTTGACAAGGATAATGAATGGGTTGGTGTGATTCGGAGGTGTCTGTAGTAGTTGGGAATATGTTGATGTTACTTGATAATATGTGTGATTTTCAGGTGTCGTGCTAGTTATGTGGTAGTCGAAGTTGTAGTGTCGGTGTTTGTTGTTGATGTATAAATGTGGTGTTTGTAAGAGTGGATGGAGTCAGTTGTAGGACGTGGATTGTTTGTGTTTGTTTTGAGGTGATGTTGTGTGTTTGTTGTAGGATATTTGTGAGTTGTATTGTGATGAGTTTGGTGTTGGTGGCACACGGATGCGCCTCCATAGCTCAGTGGATAGAGCACTGGTCTAGTAAACCAGGGGTCGGGAGTTCGATCCTCCCTGGAGGCAGTGTGTTTGCAACCACTTCGAATTGAGATCATGTCCCAGTCGTGCTAATTTTACTAACTGTCACCACTGATCACCAACCCTGACGAAACACACTCGTCCCTGTTCAACTCGAAACTCACAAGTTCACATACAATTAGGCATCGACTCCAGTCAACTAAACCACTAACAAGACGATCAATCAATTGGAACACTGGAGCTGATGATATTATATACCCAGCTGTCAACAGCACCGTCATAGTCTATCGTCAGTTGGACTCAGTGGAAATAATTGGGGAGCTCCCGTCCGGTTAATTCTAACACGAACTCATTCAACGAGAAGCGTTGAATGTTGAGCGATGCACAGAGAGAGAGAGAGAGAGAGAGAGTGAGAGAGAGACGAGCGTACCAACGGAAACCTGTTTTTCACTCGACTCCGATACATTTGGAGCATATCATGTGAGATTATTATCTCGACAGAATTGTGCAACTGTTTGTGTAGATCGGCGACACTTTTGTCAGGGGTTAGGCGTCGACCTGTTGAAGTGTGGATAGTGGAACTGAGCATTCGGTAGGTTGGTGTGCGTGGTGATGCGACTTTCTCTCTCCCCAGAACAGTTCGTCTACACAAACATTTGACAGATATTCTCAGACACACGTGACACAAATGGATAAGTTCTGATGAGACTTGTTGGTAAAACAGAGTTTAGACGGTCTGCATAGACCACGGAAGAAGTGAACATCAGTTGTCACAGGCTTCTCCACGGATTGCCACCACGTCGTCATCTGGTTTGCATGAGACGTTCGTCAGTGATCTTCCGTGTCTGGTAGGATTAGGGTTTCAGGTGAGTGTGTGAAACGTATGCGCTGATACGAGCTAGTCATGTGAGCAGGCGTTTCAGGTTGGCTTGTGTTGCAGCATGACAACTTGTTGTGGAATTACAAGATACATGACGATGGTCAGATATCAGTCTGTCTATGAATTGGCGAGCTCGGTGTGACGTATTTCGCTCTGAATTTGCTCATGTCTTTAGAACATGGGATTTGCGGATTGTTATTATCCTACTGTGACTGTTACTAATCAAAATGGTCAGAGATCGTGGTGAAATGATTCAAGTAGTGCCTCAGTATATTCATGCGTGCAGTAATTGACACGGACAGAATATCTTGTAGTTATGAATGTATATACACGAATCAATATATGTGTAGATATTTCCATCTATATAGATATAGATATATAGAAGTGCAGAATGGATTTGGAGCAATTGACCAAGCATAGAGCGAATTGTTGGGGTGTTCGTTGACAAGGATAATGAATGGGTTGGTGTGATTCGGAGGTGTCTGTAGTAGTTGGGAATATGTTGATGTTACTTGATAATATGTGTGATTTTCAGGTGTCGTGCTAGTTATGTGGTAGTCGAAGTTGTAGTGTCGGTGTTTGTTGTTGATGTATAAATGTGGTGTTTGTAAGAGTGGATGGAGTCAGTTGTAGGACGTGGATTGTTTGTGTTTGTTTTGAGGTGATGTTGTGTGTTTGTTGTAGGATATTTGTGAGTTGTATTGTGATGAGTTTGGTGTTGGTGGCACACGGATGCGCCTCCATAGCTCAGTGGATAGAGCACTGGTCTAGTAAACCAGGGGTCGGGAGTTCGATCCTCCCTGGAGGCAGTGTGTTTGCAACCACTTCGAATTGAGATCATGTCCCAGTCGTGCTAATTTTACTAACTGTCACCACTGATCACCAACCCTGACGAAACACACTCGTCCCTGTTCAACTCGAAACTCACAAGTTCACATACAATTAGGCATCGACTCCAGTCAACTAAACCACTAACAAGACGATCAATCAATTGGAACACTGGAGCTGATGATATTATATACCCAGCTGTCAACAGCACCGTCATAGTCTATCGTCAGTTGGACTCAGTGGAAATAATTGGGGAGCTCCCGTCCGGTTAATTCTAACACGAACTCATTCAACGAGAAGCGTTGAATGTTGAGCGATGCACAGAGAGAGAGAGAGAGAGAGAGGCGAGCGTACCAACGGAAACCTGTTTTTCACTCGACTCCGATACATTTGGAGCATATCATGTGAGATTATTATCTCGACAGAATTGTGCAACTGTTTGTGTAGATCGGCGACACTTTTGTCAGGGGTTAGGCGTCGACCTGTTGAAGTGTGGATAGTGGAACTGAGCATTCGGTAGGTTGGTGTGCGTGGTGATGCGACTTTCTCTCTCCCCAGAACAGTTCGTCTACACAAACATTTGACAGATATTCTCAGACACACGTGACACAAATGGATAAGTTCTGATGAGACTTGTTGGTAAAACAGAGTTTAGACGGTCTGCATAGACCACGGAAGAAGTGAACATCAGTTGTCACAGGCTTCTCCACGGATTGCCACCACGTCGTCATCTGGTTTGCATGAGACGTTCGTCAGTGATCTTCCGTGTCTGGTAGGATTAGGGTTTCAGGTGAGTGTGTGAAACGTATGCGCTGATACGAGCTAGTCATGTGAGCAGGCGTTTCAGGTTGGCTTGTGTTGCAGCATGACAACTTGTTGTGGAATTACAAGATACATGACGATGGTCAGATATCAGTCTGTCTATGAATTGGCGAGCTCGGTGTGACGTATTTCGCTCTGAATTTGCTCATGTCTTTAGAACATGGGATTTGCGGATTGTTATTATCCTACTGTGACTGTTACTAATCAAAATGGTCAGAGATCGTGGTGAAATGATTCAAGTAGTGCCTCAGTATATTCATGCGTGCAGTAATTGACACGGACAGAATATCTTGTAGTTATGAATGTATATACACGAATCAATATATGTGTAGATATTTCCATCTATATAGATATAGATATATAGAAGTGCAGAATGGATTTGGAGCAATTGACCAAGCATAGAGCGAATTGTTGGGGTGTTCGTTGACAAGGATAATGAATGGGTTGGTGTGATTCGGAGGTGTCTGTAGTAGTTGGGAATATGTTGATGTTACTTGATAATATGTGTGATTTTCAGGTGTCGTGCTAGTTATGTGGTAGTCGAAGTTGTAGTGTCGGTGTTTGTTGTTGATGTATAAATGTGGTGTTTGTAAGAGTGGATGGAGTCAGTTGTAGGACGTGGATTGTTTGTGTTTGTTTTGAGGTGATGTTGTGTGTTTGTTGTAGGATATTTGTGAGTTGTATTGTGATGAGTTTGGTGTTGGTGGCACACGGATGCGCCTCCATAGCTCAGTGGATAGAGCACTGGTCTAGTAAACCAGGGGTCGGGAGTTCGATCCTCCCTGGAGGCAGTGTGTTTGCAACCACTTCGAATTGAGATCATGTCCCAGTCGTGCTAACTTTACTAACTGTCACCACTGATCACCAACCCTGACGAAACACACTCGTCCCTGTTCAACTCGAAACTCACAAGTTCACATACAATTAGGCATCGACTCCAGTCAACTAAACCACTAACAAGACGATCAATCAATTGGAACACTGGAGCTGATGATATTATATACCCAGCTGTCAACAGCACCGTCATAGTCTATCGTCAGTTGGACTCAGTGGAAATAATTGGGGAGCTCCCGTCCGGTTAATTCTAACACGAACTCATTCAACGAGAAGCGTTGAATGTTGAGCGATGCACAGAGAGAGAGAGAGAGAGAGAGAGAGGCGAGCGTACCAACGGAAACCTGTTTTTCACTCGACTCCGATACATTTGGAGCATATCATGTGAGATTATTATCTCGACAGAATTGTGCAACTGTTTGTGTAGATCGGCGACACTTTTGTCAGGGGTTAGGCGTCGACCTGTTGAAGTGTGGATAGTGGAACTGAGCATTCGGTAGGTTGGTGTGCGTGGTGATGCGACTTTCTCTCTCCCCAGAACAGTTCGTCTACACAAACATTTGACAGATATTCTCAGACACACGTGACACAAATGGATAAGTTCTGATGAGACTTGTTGGTAAAACAGAGTTTAGACGGTCTGCATAGACCACGGAAGAAGTGAACATCAGTTGTCACAGGCTTCTCCACGGATTGCCACCACGTCGTCATCTGGTTTGCATGAGACGTTCGTCAGTGATCTTCCGTGTCTGGTAGGATTAGGGTTTCAGGTGAGTGTGTGAAACGTATGCGCTGATA